GCCTATGCAGGGGGTCAGACTCGATGATCTATTGAGGTCCCTTCCGACCCTAACATCTATGAATCTATAAACTGTCTCAACATACTTCATAATAATGGGATTAGATGTATACAATGAAAGAATTGGATGGGTTAGAAGAACAATAAAAATAATGGGAAAATAAGCATGTCAGTCTTGGTCAAAATAACCCAAGTCAAGTCTTCTAGGCTAGGGACAGACATTACACACAAACTGGTTTAAGTGATCAGAAACTGGCCATGCCCCACCCCCCACCTCCTCAGCTCAGTCTCCCTTTGGAAGGGAGGGCTGCTCTAACCTGCAAAGATTAAATCAATTCAGGCTCAGGCTTTTTGACTGTCTGTCCCTAGCCCTAGAGTTTATCCAACCTCTGAGGTTTTTGTGCCCCTGAGCTTGTTTATACTGGGAAATGATACAATGCACTAGTGTAAATAAGGCACAACTTTGCTGCAGTCAGGGTAATCATGCTGGTTAACACAACTGGATCCACTGATTCTACAAAGCCAACACTCAGTAATTCCATTGGGATTTTCTTTGCATGTCAGAGCTAGAGCTGTAACACTGAAGAAAGAAAATAGCATCATGGTCATAAGACAATCTGGACATCATGAACATGATAGGGGAAGGGTTTAAGTAGTATTACATAACCTGATACAATTGGATTTTAAGAAAATACAGGTACCATAAGGAGTGGCTTGTATGGTCTCCACTGTGGTGTTCTACTGTATTTTTGTAATTGCAGTATTCCAATAATAATGATCAGTAATTCTCAGAGTTGTAAATTTTGCTTAATATGCATAGTTCGGATGTTTAAACAATTTCCCTTTGTTTGCCAAATTAAGTCATAGTTGTGTATCATATTTTGCATTTCCCTTAGACTTTAATTAAGACTAGATTACTTCCCTCCCAATCCCAAATCCATTGCTGAAAATTACCCCAACCACTCATCCCTGCTTGTCAGGACCAGCATTAAGTAGAATAGACCATTTAGAGTAGCCCTAAATAGGTGACGGTCCTGGGAGAGTCTATGAGTTGGGAAGGAGATCTTCAGTCCATTTGGGGCTGCTCACAAGCTGTCTTCACTATTGCACCTGTAGGGTAAGAGCCAATGGATGGCCTAAAAGGTTTTATACATGGGTATATCCTGGCACAGGTTAGACTGATAGTCTGAGTCTTGCAAAAATCTTTAGTTTTATGAGATTCCCAATACCAGCTGAACCAGAAGCAGTAGGACATACTCACACATTAGGGTGATGGGCACAGTACAAACACTTATATATCTCAGCATTTTAACTTCCAGCCTTGAAGGAGACCAAGGAGTGCTAATGAATGTGACCTTGATAATATCAGTAAAGCTAATTGAGCTTTTTTTCCAACCGCATCCAGGCAGAAGCATAGCAACCCAGGCTTGCTTGGATAGCAGCAGTGGCAAGGACCATAATAGGGGCTGAGCCTGCTGCAGCAGTTGCAGCAGCTGAGCAGTAGCAGTGGCAGCTACTGTTTTTGTGCCCCTCTAAGGCTAGAGACAGACATTACACATAAACCAGTTTAAGTGATCAGAAACTGGTTTAAACTTGTAACAGAACAGATGTTCAGTGCATATAAACCAGTTTGAAAATGGCTGAAACCGGTTTGAGATAAACCTGGTTAAATGTAGTATCCTGTATCAGACTCAACTGATTTAGGTCAAACCAGTTTATGCAATGTCTGTCCCAGACCCCTTCCTGGTTTAAGTTAAATCAGAGTCCCCCAGCATACTCTCTGGGCTGGGCAGGGCTCTCTGCTCCACAGCAGGGATGGCCCCTCTCCTCTACTCCCTGGCTAGAGCTCCAGCAGACTTGCAGGTACAGCAGGATCTGCTGGCTTCCCCATGTCTTCCTCCCCTCACCACTCACTGCTTAAGCATGGATCCCCTCCTCTCTGCCACACTACAGACCATAGCCAGTATGTGGTATGCTAGCTAATGCTGTGTAAGGCTCCAGTAAAGACTGCAGACACAGCAGGGTCTGCCTGGCTTCCCCATGCTCTACCCCTCTCCCATCTCCCACAGCATGGACCCCAGCCATGTGGTATGCTAGCTAATGCCAAGAGGTGTCTCTGTGTGTGTCTGTCCAATTTCACTGAGGCAGGCAGACAGAACAGTGACTGCTTAGGGCTGTTTGGAGCTAATCAACGGGTCAGCCGGTAAGCTGTTTAAGAAGTTTGAAGTAATGGAGAGAGGCCACTGTTTTGCTAATTGGGTAATAAAGACTTATCACTATCAGCCCTCAGCTGGCTCGCTTGCCTGTCAGTTTGCTATAGACAGTATGACAAAGCAGGGAAGGAGATTGAAAAGCTCTCTATCAACAGATGCATGCAATCTTTCCTCCCCCCCCATCTAGCCTCACAGTGCTAGCCCAAGGCTGGGGGCTGGCAACACTCCTGCCCCTGGAGCAGCCAGCAGGGGAAAAGCCTGGGACCATGTAGTCAGACCTCCCTAATGAGAAACTCCTGCCAGGGCCTGGCCACACCCCCCTCAGCTCAGCTTCCTACAGAAGGGAAGGGAGGGCTGCTCTAGCACCCTC